TAGAGTGCGTGATGTCACCGCTAGAGTGAAGAGCAGCTTGAGATTCTTGTGAAAAAAACATTTGTCTTTTGCCACTGTGTCCACAATCTTCACTCTTCATGCATAATTTCTGGATGTAGAAGTAGCTAATCTTGTCCTTGTTGTAGACAAATGACTGTGGAATCCCACAGATTTACACATTTGGCACAGAAGCCTGTAATTGAGAGGAAAACCAACTTTCTGCTCCATAGAGACCAATGTTAAATTTTGCTTCAAAAACATCTTCCACAGAACACGGTACCCCATTTCTAGATCGCCAGTTCAGCCACATTTTTTACACTACAGACACAATTTTTACAGGATCTGTTCTTCAACTCATCCTTCCTCTCATTTATTAATATCGGAGCAATAGGAGCTACGGTTATGGGAGTTTTGAGGATTTGTTTGAGAGGTGTTTCTCTGTTTTATCTCCATTAAAAGGCTGCAACGTCACAGGTGTTTCTGATTGAGCTAATTAGTGATGTTGATAAACACACAGACTCACAGACACACATACACTCCTCTCTCTCTGTGTGTCTCTCTCTCTCTCTCTCTCTCTCTCTCTCTGTGTCTCTCTCTCATACAGTCATTCATGTTCTTAGAGTTTTATACAGGACTAACCCCCCCCACACACACACCCCATTTTAAAATAAAAGCCCCACAGAATGAATTCTAACTGAAATGCTTATGATGAAGCCTGACATTTATTAATAACCTGTTTGCGTTTATCTAACATTATGAGTCCATCTCCTCTCCCCTCCCCCCACACCCCATTTCAAAATAAAAGCCCCCAGAGTGAAATATAACTGAAATGCTTGTGATGAAGCATTTAATAACCTGTTTGTGTGTCAAACATTATGATTATGTCTCCTCTCCCCCTTTCTCCCCCACCCAGCCCCACCCTTTCAAAAATAAAAGCCCCATGGATGAACTGAATTTAAACGTTAAGCTCAAGATTTGGCTTTTTTGTTGAAAAACTTAATGCTCTGACCAATACTGCGACAACTACTACTGCTGCTGCTAATATAGTATTACTACTACTACTACTACTGCTACTACTTCTACCATAACTTTTGCTGTTGCTATTATTACTACTGCTATTACTGCTACCATCGATATTATTTCACCACCATTGCTATTACTACCACGACTACTATTACTTATACTACAAGTAGTATTACTACTACGGCTATTAGTACAACTGCTACTAGTACTACTACTACTGCTACTTCTACTGCCATTACTATTACTACTATAACTACTTCTACTACTACTACTACTATTATATTAAATACTACGACCAATACTACAGCTATTACTACGACTACTGATACTACTACTTCTACTACTTCTTCTAATTACCAATACTTCTACTACTACTAATACTTCTACTACAACTACAACTTCTACTACTACAAATATTACTACAGGACTTTTCCCTTTCAAAATGTTCAGCTTTTTCAGGAGAGGGGTGCTTTGACTTTTCATATTTGTAATCTTTTAACTTTTTGAATTATTAAGCTTTTTGCAATTTTCTGTTGAATGGGATCTCTGTGGAGAAAATCTTCAAATCCTGTTAAACTTCTTCAACTTTCAAAGCCTTCTCATACTTTCAGCTACAGACACCATAGTTAGACATTTTAACTAGAAGGGTTTTCAGCAGTGCAGTTTAAATGCTTTCGGGCTTCAACATTTTTCAGATGGGTAGTCTCCCATTTCTTAATTTTCAGCAATTATTTTACAATTAATTTCAGCTTTCAGCATTCCAACGCATTTTCAGCAGGAAATGCATTTTCTAGTTTGAAATAAGTTGCAAATGTCAGGTGGTGCAACCAGTAAGGCATGTGGTGCAACTGCAGAGAATGTTGCTCTATGATATTATATTCAAAGCTCTGACATTATATAAAAACAATTCTAAAGTTTAACAGTGTTAAGTTAACGATATTATACACTTTCAAACTATTTTTCATGACATTAATGAATATTGTTTAACTATTAAGGATGCCACTGTCAGGTAAAGCAAAACCAGCACGACGCAGGGAGCAGACAACAAGTCGTGTATGGAGTGTGTGCAAAACGCTGCTACAATGAGGTAGAAGCTGCAACACGCAGGAAGCGACTGTGATTTTGCCTGTTCCAGTTATGTGCTAAACATGATTACTATGAAATATTTACTTCTTTTACTTAAAAAGAGACTGTTAACTAAAAGCATGTTGTTGTATTTGAAACAAAAATGCAAATTGTCTGCATATTTGCTGTGATTACTAATATTGTCAGGTGGCACAACTGATAAATGTCATGGTGGTGCGACCAGGTAAAATATTAATTTAAAGCAATAAATAATAGGTTAAAATGAATTTTTTTTTTGCTTGATATGATGTGAAGAACTATTGTATTGAATGTATTCATTTGAATATTTGTATTATTATGTTTACATGTTTAAATGTAAAATCAAAAGTTAAATATACTAAATACCTGCCAAGAGAACGCAATTATGATAAAACACAACCACAAAATACGGTGTGTTAGACACAGTAGACACTCTAAGGGATACTTGTCAGAAATTTCAGTTTGAATAAATATTAGGAAAATATATATTTTTATAAATATGTGGTTGCGCCACCTGACATTTTTTAGCCTGTGAAGTTAAAAAATACTGTTAAAAACTATTTAAAATACTGTGAAAAGTTGGTTCACAACTTAGACTCGTTTCACCACATTTTTCCAGACACAAAAATATGCATTACATCCATTTTGAAGATAATTTTTTAAATTACCTTTTTAGAAGCCTCATTTGTCAATGACTGATGTATATGTAATCAAGGCATCGTTGACTTAATAATTGTTAATAGTTGTTTAAAACATGTAATAATAACAATAAATAACCACAAAGAAATAAGAATGAAATGAATATGATTGTCTGATTTATGTTTGTTTTTTGTTCAAAAAATCGAAGAAAACACTTTGAATCTGTAGACTACTGCCTAATAGTCTTATTATTGCCATTTGATGACAATTGCTCATATACTGTAAGCCTAAATAAGTATATTTATTATTTTGAACAAAGGTTAAATGTTATTTCACAAGTTTCAAAAAGTGCCCCCAATTTTTTGGAAATGCCCTGGATCTCAGTCAGTGGGGGCAAAAATTGCACCCAAAAAATATGTAAATTTCCTACCCTGCTTGAGATGTACCCAGAGTCTGAACACGAGAAATATCGAATAACTTCAGACAGATCCTTTAAAGAATAATATATGAATAATATAATAATACATTTTAAACTGAAAACCTTTCAACTAAATACTAAAGATGAAATAAGAAGCATTAGAGAACATATTATTTAAATTAAATAGTGAATCAAACCTGCTTTATTCTCAGTTAGCTGGATCTCTATTAATAATAATAATAACAATGACAACTAGTTAATCTAACAGTCTCAGTGTGAGGATCTTTTGCAGGCTGTTGACATTTACAGAAGAGGTCAGAAACATTCATGACCTTTAAGAACTACACCACAGAGTGTGTGTGTGTGTGTGTGTGTGTCTGGTGATGGATCAGTTCAGAGGGTTAAAGTGCAGCGTGACTTTGTTTAATAAACAGTTATGGTTATAATACATATATTGTTATATTATTATATGTATATGTAATATATCATTCGACACGTTTTGGTTGTTTTTAACCCAGAATGTCTTATTTAAACAGACATGTTTTACAGTCTGTTCGTGAGTCCAACAGCTTGTTTAATGACATAAAGTTTCGGAGCAATGTGTGTGTGCCGATGTTACCAAACGATCATAACTATCTATGAAAGTCTATTTATTAACAGACAGTTCCACTACATGTGCTCGCCCACGTACACTTCCCCGTTAAAGTGCAGTATTTCATCGGGAGGTCTGGTGTGATGTTTCGTCACCTTGTCCCAGCTCAGCCACCGCCGCACCGCCTCGTCCAGCTGCGGGTCTCCGGTGCTGGTCGCTCCGTGGTCCCCCATCGCTGAGAGAGGCCGGACCAGCTAACACTGCAGCATAAAGCTGCTAACGGCCAGCACGCTGAAGTGATAACGGGCTCCTGAATCTCACATACATCTCTAACGGAGCTCAACTCTCCGACTCTCAAGTGAGGGCCATTAACGTCACACACAGCGAGGCTAATGCTAGCTATAGGCTAATTTTAGCTAGAGGCTAAGTCACATAGCAGCCAGCTAAGTCACGTGCTAACCGATAATATTACTCGGTAAAGTTCGGAAATATTAACTTAAGTTACAGAAACACCGTTAAGACCCGAGGAGGCGACAAAACAGAACTTCCGGTCTATTTTCAAAATAAAAGTCAGTTTAATTGTGCAAATTTTTTTTTTTTTACTTGTAACGCATTTTAACCACAGACTGTATATAAGAAGTGGACGTAACGTCACTCATTGGTTTGTGGACTGCTGTTTTGAAGCCTTCAGTTTGGCGTTTTGTCCTTTGCCATCTTGTTTGTTTTGCAACCAGTGAACAGGAAGTGACCATATTTGGATGGAGAGACGCCATTAACGTATCTGGTAGAGACCTGTCAATCACTGTGTAGCCCCGCCCTAAAGCATCCCCTGCTTTATGGTCTGTTTGACTCTGAATGGACCATAATGTACTAAATGAACATCATGCTGTATTGAAGAAGACTTGAAACTAGAGATTGAGACCATAAACTCATGTTTACAATGTTTACTGAGGTAATAAATCAAGAGAGAAGTAGAGTCATTTTCTCATAGACTTCTATACAACCAGAGTCGCCGCCCCCTGGTGGACACTAGAGAGAATGCAGCTTTAACACGTGAAGAACCGGAGGTTGTCTCATGATTTTAACATAATATATTATACTTTTAAGACACTGAGGTCCACATTCATTAATATTGCTGTCCACATGGAGACAACAGAACTAAGATGTAAACACGACATGGACGGACACAAAGGATTGTAACACAATGAGGTGACTTCATGATGTGATTTGGTACAAATTCAAAGTATTTTTAATAAGTAAAAAGACAACGTTAAATCTGTATCTTAAAGATATTTAAAGCTACGAATTCAGAGGCGCGTTTTAAAGGTAGTTTGTACACTTCAAAGGTTAAGGCCTTTTTTCATGTAAATCAGATAAAGTCAGTTTCTACGGTGACGATCCTCCGCCGTCCCGCTCGGTTTTATCTGTTTGTCCGTCCGTCAGCAGACAGTGGAACCGGTCCCTGAATGCGTCCAGCAGCTGAGGGACGGTCTCCTCCACGCAGACGTCTCTCTGCAGCTCGGCGCTCAGTGACGTCACTCCTTTACCCATGATGCCGCACGGCACGATATGGCCGAACCACGACATGTCGGTGTTACAGTTCAAAGCCAAGCCGTGAGACGTGACGTAGCGACCGCAGTGGATTCCTACGAGGACGCAATGAGGAGACGACAACTCAGACAACAGATCGCTGTGAGGCAGTCTGACGTTTACATATTTAATGAATGCGACAGACAGAAGTTGAGGAAAAGAAGGGTCTCTGTGTCGTCGTACCGACGGCACAGATCTTGTTGTCTCCGACCCAGACACCGGTGTGAGGAGACGTGGACGCGTCGATACCAAACCTGCTGCAGACGGAGATGATGGTTTTCTCCAGTTCACTGACGTACCAGCGGACGCTCTGAGGGATCAGATCACAAGTCAACATGGTAACACACGCCAACAAATGCTAACACACGTTATCATACGTTATCACACGCTAACACACGTTATCACACGCTAACACACGTTATCACACGCTAACACACGTTATCACACGTTATCACACGCTAACGCACGTTATCACACGCTAACGCACGTTATCACACGCTAACGCACGTTATCACACGCTAACACACGTTATCACACGCTACCACACGCTAACACACGTTATCAAACGCTAACACACGTTATCACACGCTAACACACGTTATCAAACGCTAACACACGTTATCAAACGCTAACACACGTTATCACACACTAACACACGTTATCACACGCTAGCATACGTTATCACATGCTAACACACGTTATCAAACGCTAACACACGTTATCACACCCTAACACGTTATCACACGTTATCACACGCTAACACACATTGTCAAACGTTATTACACGCCAACACACACTAACACACGTTGTCACATGTTATCACACGTTATCAAACGCTAACACACGCTAACACACATTATCACATGCTAACACACGTTATCACACGCTAACACACGTTATCAAACGCTAACACACGTTATCAAACGCTAACACACGTTATCACACGCTAACACACGTTATCACACGCTAGCATACGTTATCACACGCTAGCATACGTTAACACACGCTATCACACGTTATCACACGCTATCACACGCTAACACACGCTAGCATACGCTAACACACGCTAGCATACGCTAACACACGTTATCACACCCTAACACACGTTATCACACGTTATCACACGCTAACACACGTTATCACACGCTAACACACATTATCAAACGTTATCACACGCTAACACACACTAACACACACTAACACACGTTATCACACGTTATCACACGTTATCAAATGCTAACACGTTATCACACGTTATCGCACGCTAATACATTATCAAACATTATTACACGCTAAAACACGTTGAACTTCATCAAACCCAGCACGGATGGACCCGCTCTCACCTTCTTGAAGCTGTCCAGGTGGAGGATCGGGTAGCAGACCAGCTGACCCGGTCCGTGGAAGGTGATGAGTCCTCCTCGGTTGGTGCGGTGCACGTCGGCCCCCAGCAGGCGGAGGCGGTCCAGCAGGGGGGCCGGGTAGGGTTTGTGGCGGATCCCGGTGGTGTAGACCGGAGGGTGCTGACACAGCAGGAGAGCGTGAGCCGGACCGGACCGGTGCCGGTTCACGTAGACCTGCTGCAGCCTCAAAGCCTCCTGGTAGGAGACCAGGCCCAAACGAACCACCTCCACCGTAGGTCTGCCGCCCTGCATCCAGGACTTGAACCAGACCTGCAGACCGGGACTGGAAGTGGCATTAACACACAAAGCAGCAGGTAAGTCAGGTGTGTCATCGTGGTTTTCATGGTCCTGAGGAGCTTTTAGTGACACGAGGTCACCAGCTAGAGGACTGAGGGTCCAAAACAGAAAGAGATTCAACTCCATTCGAATTAATGTTCTGAGATCAAACCTTCAATGTAGTGAATAGACTCAGAGGGGCTCTTCAAAGGGTTCTTATGTATTCAGTAGGTAGAGATGGATTACAATATCCTATAATATTATAAATATAACTGATTATCTGCAGTTTAACTGGTGAAAAGAGCCACAATATACCCAATAGATTAATGAATAACTTTATTTAGGAATTTCCACAACTTGTTTTCATGTTATTTGGTTTAATTTTTACTTCTAATAATGAATCATCTCTCAAAATACTTAAATACTGTTTATTACGATCAATTAATTCATCAATGAATTCACAGAGAAATGCATCATTTTAAAGTTTACAGGTAAATATATTAAATATTGAGTTATTTAACCTGTCTCACTTCACGTGTTTATTTAACCTGTCTCACTT